AGATCCAGCAGGGGTCCCAGTGAGGATGGATGTGGAAGAACTTGTAGAAAGCTGGTTCTAAACTGACTTGTGATTCTTTTACAAGAGCCATTTATTGAATTTTTACTGTATGCCATCCTTCCTCTCCTCAGCTCTTAAGCCTCCAGGTGGAGCAGCTCACAGACAGGTGATAGCCCAGTAGGGTAGACTTCCCTCACTGATGCTGCGGAGGGTAGAACCCTGACTCCTCCCTCCCTCTTACAGGTGGCCTGACTTCTTCATAGGCTACCTAGAAGGCCTAGTGGGAAACCACCAGAGAAGGGGTGCCAGGACACAAACCAGGCACGCTTATGCCTTTGAAACACTCTGTATTTAGGGCTCAGGCACTAATCATCTTTGCCTGGATGGAGGATGGGGAACAATGGGTCTATGGATTTTGGTATTTGTTTAAAATTTGTTTTTTCATGTGTAGAAATGGGCATTTATACTAAAATGGGCATTTAAACTGAGGGTGGGAATAGCTCTAACCTAGGAATCTGGCCAGGGCTGCTGAGGGCTCTTTGAGGTTGCTTGCTAAAAGCTTCCAAGTGTGACTACAAGTCATAGTCAAGGTTTAGTAGAAGTTTAGTTTTTCTTTATTTCCCTCCCCATCCTGTTCCTCCTTCATTCCCTGTCTCCCTGCTAGGTCTGGAAGCTGTGGTCTATATACTAGACAAATACTTTACCACTGAATCACATTCTCAACTTTAATAGTATAATTCTTGATGGTATTCAGGAGTTATGGTAGCACACCCACCATGCTTGCACTCATTCCCACATCTACCTAACAACTCATATGTCTCTATTTTTGAGAATTTTATACATGAATACTATAAGTACATCATTTTCACTCCTCCCTCTCTCCCCTTTCAACTCCTCCCCCGTCCCTCCTACTCCCTCTCAAATTTATGACCTCTTTTAAAATTATTATTGTTTTATACACACACAGCCTCCTGAGTCCATTTAATGTTGCTTATATATACATGTTTTTAGGACTGACCACTTGGATAACCTGTCCGGGGGCTCGTCCCAGCAGAAAACCTATTCTCCCTTGTTCAGTGGACCTTGACTGTAGCTCTTCGTCTAGGAGTGGGGCCCCATGAGGTTTTCCCACCCACTTTGACACATCAACTGTATTATTATGTATGTCTTGTTTAGGCAACCATATTGCTGAGATTTCACAGCTTTGGCGTCCCTGCTATATCTAGAATGCACCACCTAGCAGCAGGTATCCTGGCCCTCTGACTTTAGAATTTTCTGCTTCTTCTTTCATAATTTCCTGTAAGTCTTAGGTGTGGGGGTTGTGCTGGAGATGGACCACTTGGGATTGGACACCCTATAGTCACTTACTCTGTGTTTTGACCAGCTGTAATAGTCACCATCTATTGCAAAAAGAAGATGCTTTCCTGAGAGGAGAGAGCTGCAGTTCTGTGTCTATAGACACCTATGCCTGAGCAAGAGGCCCTGCCTGAGCGAGAGGCCCTGAGAACTCAAGGATTAAAAGCTACTCAGAGTATTCCCACTCTTTAGGAATCGTAGACCAGCAAACAAAGAGCATGACGGTTAGAACACAGGATGCCGTGGTAGACTTGATAAGTATCTGATGTTCTCATTAGCTGCCAACTAAAATTTAACTCCCGTAGAGACAAGTCTTACAACTGGCCATTTCTTGTCGAGATTTGTAACGAGAGTGGCAGTATCTGGAAGTCTTAACAGAGTAAAGCCAGGATGGCTGGACCACCCCAAGGAGCCATTGGTAGGCCCTGGAACATAGGCTGCTGCGTTGCTGGAGTCATGCTAGACCATCTGGAGTGATTGTGAGCAAACTGCGCGCAGTTGTCTTCACGGCTGCCCCTTCTTATGCTCGGAGCACTGACTTTTCTTCCTTCACTTAGCCACCAGGAATTAGCTCAAAGGTCCTTTGCTTTTCCCACACTGATCTGGTGTAAGGGTTTCTTCTTTGTGCCCTCGTGTGTCTGTTGTGGCTTATCTCTGTCCTCCCCTATCCTGACTTTGTTTTTTTCTGTGCCTCTTACTCATTTCTGTGTGAAAGATCTTTGTCTTTTACCCTGTTTTTTTAGTGTGTGGCGCTGGGCATTTGTGTATACCACTAAGCCTATCTAAGACTTCACTTCCTTCTCGTGTCAGGTAGTGTTCCTACTTGTCTGCTTCCTCGCACAGATTCAGGATGATGCTGTAAAATGCCATTCTACCTGCACATCCATAGTGTCATGAAAGGCACTGGGCACGGTGGCTCACACCCTTAATCCCAGCACTTGGGAGGCAGAGACAAGCGGCTCTCTGAGTTTGAGGCCAGCCTGGTCTATAGAGCAAGTTCCAGGAAAATTTGGGGCTACAGAGAAAAAAACAAGCAAAGAAGCAACAAACAAACAAACAAAAAACAAAGTATGATAGGTTTGGCTGGAGGGGCACAGTGTCAGAGTACTTGCCTAGCATGTGCATGAAAATGTGAAGGAAAATAAGAGTCTAGTGTGTTGGCACCCACCTGTAATCCTAGGACTCGGAAGACTGGGGCAGGATAGAAAGTGTGAAGCAGCCTCCCTAGCAAGGTCCTTTAAACAAACAAGGTGTCCTGATAAATGCATACTGGGTTGATAATTATCATCATCATTATCATTTCGCCTTTACAAAAATTTTAAATTAAATTTATTTTATATGTGTGAGTGTTTTGTACGTATGTATGTATGTGTGTGTACTATGTGCATGTCTGGTGCTATAGAATTGAGAAGGAGGTGTCGGATCCTCTGGAACTGGAGTTAGAGATGGTTATTAGCCACCATATAGGTGATGGAACTGAATCTGGATCCTGTGCAAGAGTAGCAAGAAATCCCTCTAGATCTATCATAATCATCATTGTTTAATTAATGCGGTCTTTGTGGCAGCTGCACACTACTGGGGAGCGTTATAATATGTGTGAGGTTGGAGTGGCAAGTGGAGCCTGCCTTCTGGGTGTCCATAGCCTTATTTTCTTGTCCTCACTTATTCTTGGAAGGATTGAGTGCTGCTGTGTGGTTTTGCCTGGTTTTGGTTAGGGATCTAGCCACTAATTCTTCCGTTGTGCCTGTGCGCCACATCCCCTGACTCATAGGTGGTGAAGAATTGTTCCTGTGAACTTACTAGGTCAGGAGACACTGAAGTTTGCACAGCTAGTGTGCTGCTCTGCCTTGCTGACCCAGTCTACCCTGTGGAACTTTATCCCCAGAACTAGACAGAGGCTTCCGTGAAGGTCCTACTTACACTGCTCTAGAGTCAGAAATGTGTAGAACCCAGTGGTTATAACATCTAAAGAAATGTTTTGCAGGAGCAAAAAATCCATGTTAAGTAGATGCTCATTGGTTTTCTAAAGCTTAAAAAATGTATCCTTGACAGAAGTTGTCTAAAAACAGAAAGGTTCTGTTTGGGAGAGTCTCTTCTATAGGCATATTTTATTAAACAGCCGGTCATAGTGGTGCATGCCTATAATCCTAGCCCTCAGGAGGCTGAGACAGGAGGATTAGGAGTTCCAGGCCAAGGCTAAGCTACATAGTGAGACCTTGTTTTAAAACAATAAAATTTCTGTAGCCATTGAGTATTTATTTAAGGTCTTAAAGACACATTTGATTTTATGACAACTTGTGAGACTAATAGTGTTATTTGATCTCTACAGAGGAGGATTAGAGGCTCAGAGTAATGTAGTGATTTGCCCGGTGGATTCATAGGCAGGGAGATGGAACAACACTTTAAACCAGGTATACCTGGCTCCAGAGTCTTTACTTCTACCTAGTAGACTTTGTGACTTCCCTTTATGTTAGTGTTTCTATTTCATTCATCTTCCTATGGGGTGAGGGTGACGTGGGATGCCTGCAAAAATCTTTGTAGCTATTTTGGTGAGCCTGTAGCTGTTATTTCTTATGTAGTTTTTGCCTTTTTTTTCCCCAGCTATGGAGTGCTGCTTTGGGAACTGCTGACTGGCGAGGTGCCCTTTCGAGGCATCGATGGCTTAGCAGTGGCCTATGGAGTGGCCATGAATAAACTCGCCCTTCCTATCCCTTCTACATGTCCAGAACCTTTTGCCAAACTCATGGAAGGTAAGTAACTCCTGGCCCGAGGAAAATCGGTGACTGTGTACCTTTCCATGGCTCTAAGATGATGTTTTCTAATGCCATGAGGTCTGCTGCAGGAGGAGATGAAATGTTAGCCACCCAGGGGGAAGGGGTGGGAGAGCTGTTTCTAGACAGCAGCCACACCCCGCCAAAGCAGGTTCATTTCTGCAGTGACTATAGAAATTAGTAACTCAAACCTGCTATCTTGCATTCCAGTATCTTATTATGTAATACAAAATAAGCTACAATGGCATTTGTTCCCAGACCCGAGTCTCTTGTGTGTAGACCGGAAGGTCATCTGGGAAGAAAGGGACTCTAAAATCATTGAGTTGGAAACATAACTCTGTGAGAAATGCAGAGCCAAGCAAACTGCAGAGGGAAAGGCCTACTGTGCTGGTGGCCAGGCAGCGCCTGGGTGGAGTTCACTCTTCTGACTCACCTTGATGCTTTCTTGGGGCTGATAGCTTGTGTGTGTGTGTGAGATTGGGGCATAGTCACCTCTGGTGCACTTGTAAGTGTCGGGCACCAGAAGCTTTGTTCTGCTTTCCGTGTGCTTACTCAGCAGAGTGTACCACATAGAGCCTTTGACCTTCACTTTCCCCTCTTCCATTCAGACTGCTGGAATCCTGACCCCCACTCACGTCCATCTTTCACCAGTATCCTGGACCAGCTCACAACCATAGAAGAGTCTGGTTTCTTCGAGATGCCCAAAGACTCCTTCCACTGCCTGCAGGATGATTGGAAACAGGAGATTCAGGAAATGTTTGACCAACTCAGGGCCAAAGAAAAGGTAGAGAAGAGGAAAAGGCATGCCTTGTCTTAGCAGAGGTGCTTCCTGGGGATTCTGGACTCAGTCTATCCAACCACTAACACCAATACCTGCCTCCTCGGGGTCGGCTTGATTGTCCACAGCCCAGGAACAGCTGTGGGCAGCTGTCAGCAAGTGTTTCCTCCTGCTACCTCAAAATGGACAGTTCTGGAAGGGCATCCAGGTCCCACAGGGGACTTCTAGAGGGAGGACCGTTTCATAAAGGGGTACATCAGCACTGCAAGTCGCTAGCAGAACATCTTGCTTGCTGTTGTCTTTTGGAGTCAGTCAGAAAGAGGATAGGAGCCTGAAACTAGAATTTTTTTGTGTTTTTATGGAAAGGGTTCCAAGCTGAAATGATCTAGCGGACTTTGGTACCTCTTGGCTTGCTGGTGTCTGCTTTTGGGTTTGGTGGTCATTCCTCCAGTGGCCCCTCTCTTTTCTTGTGGTGTGACCCTAGCAGTCAGTATCCACATGGCTGAGACTGGTTGTGTGCAATTGTATGCCCTGTGCTAAATCCAAGGCCTGAGAGTGGTTGTGTTATAGTCTTGGCTAATTTCCTTTTTTTTTTCCTACGCACTCTGTACTATGGAAATTTAGGGGAGTTAATAGCATTGTGATAAGTTGGCACACGCCTGTAATCTCAGCTCACAGGAGGCTGAGGAAGGAGGGTTGTAAATTTGAGACCAAACTGTAATACATTGTAAGTTCTAGACTAGCCAGGGCTATCAAGTGATTTCAAGACTAGCCTAGGCTAAAACCCGGTTTCAGGGACTAAATGAATAACTAAGTAGCAATGTGGTAATAATAGAATCTAGTTTTGTTTCTCACTTTCTTTTCGCTCGAGGTTTCATGAGACCTCTTTGTCCGGCTAGTGGGATGGTATGTGGGGCAGGTGTTTCCATCTCACAGCTGAGGGCCGGTGGCTTCCACCTTCATGGAGCTAGTAAGTGAGGAAGCAGGTCCTTGAACCTGGGCCATCTGACTCTAAGGCCTGTGTTCTTTGCAATACCATTGTATCCCCCTACGCAAATTACTGAAAAATAATTTCTGGATCTGATTCGAAGAGATTAGCTTTTGTTAGATTGCTGAATCACCGAGTCATAGCCACCTCTCTCAGTTTTTGGATTGATAAAATCATAACACAATTTATAAGTGACACGTGCCAATAGGAAAAATGAAAATTGCCAATAAGTAGTTACAATAATTCTCCCCACCCCACCCCACTTGTGGTTTTGCTTTCTGTGGCTTGATTTACCACTGTCAACCACTGTCTAAAAGTATTAAATAGAACATTCCAGAAGTAAACAGTTTCATGTTTTAAATTGCATTCTATTCTAAGCGTCATGATCCAGTCTTGCTCTGCCCTTCCTGGGAACGGTCATCCTCCTGACACTGCACACTGCCCGAGCTAGATAGCGTAGTGATCTTGGGTTTCTTGTCGGTTATTGTGATATGGCAGTTCTGAGTTCAGGCAGCCCTGATTTTGTTTAATAATGGTTCCAAAGGACAAGAGTAGTTATGCTGGTGATTCTAGTGTAATATATTGTTATCATTATACTCTGTTATTATTAGTTGCTAATCTCTTATGATACCTAATTTATAGGTTAAATTTCATGACGGAGGTATTACTGTTTTAGAGGAAGACACAAAGAACATACAGAGTTCAGAAGAATCTGTGGTTTCAAATGTTCCCTGTGGTCTTGGACATGCTCCTAGGGATAAGGAGGAACTACTGTTCAAGGACGGATCAGCCCGTCTCCAGGCTTGCTCTGGCATTAGCCTCTCTAGCTGTATTCACAGGGCTGTTCAGTGTATTCAGTATGGCTGTGCTGCATTTTCCTTTCACTAGGGCTTGCATGTGTTCCCTTACCAGCCAGCTGCTGAGCATCCTCTGTCTCCTGGGCACCACAGGAGAGCTCTCTGGTGTTTCTTTCCCTGAGACCACTCTTCTCTCTGCTGGTTCCCCTTGGTAGGAGCTCCGCACCTGGGAGGAGGAGCTGACCCGGGCTGCGCTCCAGCAGAAGAACCAGGAGGAGCTGCTGCGACGCAGGGAGCAGGAACTGGCTGAGCGGGAGATTGACATCCTGGAACGAGAGCTCAACATCATCATCCACCAGCTGTGCCAGGAAAAGCCCCGGGTGAAGAAACGCAAGGGCAAGTTCAGGAAGAGCCGACTGAAGCTCAAGGATGGAAACCGCATCAGCCTCCCCTCCGGTGGGTGGCAGCCAGAGAGTGGGGGTGGGGTGGGGGCTGTGTGGCAGGGGTTTGTGGGAGTTAGAAGTGCTTGAAGCACAGACCATGACTCTCAGTAAAGCCTGTTGGGACGGGTCATCTCACTCGGTGGAGGCCAGTGGAGTCTTCTGGGGAACTGTTCATTGTGAGTGACGGCAGAGCATATAGCGATGACAAACACACAGATCACAGAAGCACACTTCACTGTAGGTAAAAGCTGGAGAAGAAGGGACTTCTGGGTATGCACATATCTTAATCCTGCAAAGCTGCTTATCTCAAGTTTCTTTTCATAACTAGCCCTCAGTGCACTTAACATTAGGCTAAAATGTAAAAATGCATATCATAAGATTTATGTGTAGCTTCTCAGAAGTACATTGATTTCATAACGGTGTACTTTGGTACTGTTACCTGGGGGAAATGAAAAGAAATAGGAAATTGGATTAGAATCTTGGTGGAGTATAATGTGCCCAAGGGGGCAGGTGAGTATTTCTATAGATTAAAACAGTTCTTTGTGTGCTAAGTCTGTAAGGCCTTGGGTAGCAAGTTTATTAGAACTGTAGGGAAGCAAAAAAAAAAAAATGGCATAGTCTGAGGGGCTCTGGTTGATGTTTAAGCTTTGGAATAATGACTTAAACACAGACTGAGGGAATTATGTCATCGGACTGAGAGAATATGCTCATGGGAGTGTACACTGCTGTCATTGTCATACATGATGTGTTTTTGTTTTGTTGTAGTTTTGTTTTGTTTTGTGTTTTGGTTTTGCAAGTAGTTAGATACCTCTGGAACCTCTAAGCTGTGCCAGGACACTGCTGTACACTAGTGATGCAGATATGAAGCTCTCGTTCCCATCCACAGGGAGAGTTTAGCCTAGTGGGTAGACCCCAGTGCTTCTCTGTTAGATGAAGAGGTTGAAATTCAGAACCTAAGAGCTGAAAGTTTCAAAGTTTCGTGTTCTTCAAAAGTATCAAAACTGCCTTTGAGGTGTGTGAGAATTAGAGTCATTTCCCCATTTCTCTTGAATTCCTACATTCTCACCATGGGCTGGTTCTTAATACCCTGCTCTGCCTGCACTTTGGGAGCAGCACCAAATGCTTCCTGTTTGGCACCTAAAAAGGACATGGATGGTGACTGATCATCTGAAACCTAATTTCAAATAACATTTGCTAGAATAATCCATAAGGTGACGTGCACTGAGAAGCAACTCTCAGTTTGCAATTGCTCCACCTGTATCCATTAATTAGAGAGCTTTACGAAGACTGCCATCTGTATGTTCATTTTGTCATGTGTTTATCTTGTGATGTATCCCTTTGCGGTGGGGGGGGGGGAAGATGACTCTGAAGAAAACATTTCTCAGATAACAAAGCTTTTTAGAAAACCAAGGCCTACCCGTCAGGCCTGCCAGGAGACATCAGATCCTTGAATGAAACTGACTGTATGATGATCCTAATGCACACACTTGTCTCTTCCCAAGCAGATTTCCAGCACAAGTTCACGGTGCAAGCCTCCCCAACCATGGATAAAAGGAAGAGTCTCCTCAGCAGCCGATCGAGCCCTCCTGCTAGCCCCACCATCATCCCTCGCCTTCGAGCCATCCAGTGTGAGACAGGTTTTCAGAACACACCAGGGACACTTGTCCCCCGCTCTGCTCAGCCACTGACTAATTCAGGCTTGTTCCAGCCATAACTTCTGCCATCTTCCTCAACAGTGTGTACATACGTGCATGTGCATTGCAGACTTCCTGCTCCTTGTCCCCGGTTAACTTCACTGCTGTCTCCTCCACCTTCAACAGGGGCTTGTGGGTAGAGGAAGCTCTTTAGTGACTTGCAAAGCAGTGTGGAGACTGGAATGATGTAGATACAGATTGGTGCCCACCTTGAGGACCTCCATACTGCCTGCCCTGCTGGGCCTCCCTGTCTTTCTTCTGTCTGTATTTCCCAGGCCTTCTAAAGGACTTCTAGAGCCCAGGGCCTAAGAAAGCTTGCCATAGCTTCAGCATGTGCCAGACCCAGACTGTTTATATTTTTACTGTAGTATTTGCTTAAAAATAAGTGTGTGTATGTGTCTGTGTGTGTACCTGTGTATGTGTGTCTGTTGTGTGTGTGCCTGTGTGTGTGTCTGTGTGTATCTCTGTGTGTATATGTGTGTATATGTGTATGTCTGTGTGTGTGTCTGTGTGTATTTGTATGTGTGTGTCTGTGTCTGTGTCTGTGTGTATCTATGTATGTGTGTCTGTATGTGTGTGTGTCTGTATGTGTGGTCCATCTGCCAGTTTTGGAGAAACTTATCTTGCTCAACCTTTGTTATCCACAGTGACACCAGGTGAAAGCAGTAAAACCTGGGGCCGGAGCTCAGTTGTCCCAAAAGAGGAAGGGGAGGAGGAGGACAAGAGGCTCCCAAAGAAGAAGGGCCGGACATGGGGACCAGGAACACTTGGGCAGAAAGAGCTCACCTCAGGAGATGAAGGGTAAGAGCCAGCTGATGTGAAAATCTCTCCCTGAAAGACTGTCACAGCAGTTTAAACTATGATAGGAAACACTTTCGTTTCTCTTGTGTATATTTTACTATGTTCTGGGAAAATACAGGGTTTTTTGGTCTTGTTTTGCCATTTATTTATTTACTTACTTACTTACTTACTTATTTAAGGTAGGCTAGCCCCAGCTGTTCTCAAGCCCTCTATTCTCCTACCTTCCTGAGTGCTAGAATTACAAGTGTGCGTTACCACAAAGCTCTTCCTGACCTTTCTAGAGTTTTCCAGCCTCCTAGTTCCTGGGTTCCCTCGTAGCGCAGGACTTGTCAGGCTCTTTCCACAAAAGGCCAGATAACATTTTAGGCTTCTGGGTCTGCACAGTGACAGAGACATCTAAAAGCTGTCCTAGACTTTGGGTAACACGTAAGTGAATGAGAACACTTGGCTACCTTCCAGTCAGACTTTACAAAGACAAGCAGCAGGCAGGATTGGACTCAGTCTGCTGGTCTGCTGCCCCCTGCAGATGTTCTCAAAGCAGCAACTAGCCCAGATAGGAAGGAAATGTAGGAAGTTGGCCTAAGTGGTCAGCTCATGCCTGAATCTTCCCCGTAAGACATCTGTTGAAAGGAAAGGGAGGAAGAGCAGGGTTAGCAGGGCTTTCTCTTGTTAACCTGTTAGCGGAGGTGGGCGCCATAACATGGCCCTGACTGTGGGGCCCCTGACCTTCTTTCGTACCTTACCCCTAACCACATGTGTCAGTACCCCACCAAGCAAATGGTCTTGGTGTCTTGAATGAGCTGTGTCCTCACTTGTAGACTTGAGGCTGGGGTGCAGATTCTCTGCATCAGTTTCCCACAGGCCATGGAGACTTCTGGTCATGAGACTCAGCCCCATAACTAACCGTGGGAGCGCACGTTGTCTCCCCTACAGTGTGGGCATAAGACTAGCCCCTGTTTGTGGCATGGATGTTAGAGTTCTTTGTGAAATGCATCACTTTACCTGGCTCATGGTGAATGTACATAGTTATCTGTCAGGATGACTGTTCTCTGCCTGTCATGCCATTTACTCAATACTCACAGTGTGGACATCATCGTTTCTTCTAGAAGACCCCTGGCTATTCTATGTGTGACGATAGTAGTCCTATCGGTTTTCAGTGACCTCCCATTAGCCACTGGGTGGAGCCTCTAAACCTGACAAACTGACTTTGGTAATCTTTTGAATACTAACATTTCATGTTCAAACTCTTCCTGTGTCTGAGCTCAAGGGAAAAAATAGCAATTTGATTTATAAAGAACTAACTCTGTCAAGTAAGGCTTTGAAACCACCATGAGCTCCTTTGAATAGAAGAGGGACACTGGTGGGGCAAGCCATCTGTGTGTTGTGTGTGAATGTAGAACTTAAGGCCAGCAAATCTGCAGAACTCAGGAGAACAGAGGTGGGGCAAGAACCTTGCAGTCTGTCCTTTATGGCTTGGCTCAGAGAAATTCAGTCACCCTGAATCATTTGCTATTTCTGACATTAGTATAACTCTCAGGTTAGCCGTGCCAGCTATGGATTCTGGTAATTGAATTTTTTCAACTAATTTTTCAGTGAACATACAAAGTGATGGGTTCTATTGTAGCATTTTCATATAGATAGATCATTATAGTTTTTCTTACTACCTCATCACTTTCCCCCTCTCCCTTCCCACTTGACCCTTTCTTGTAAGACCCTTCCTCTTATCAGATAGGATTCTAGTGAATTTTCTGGTTCTGCTTCACTTAAAGTTTTTGTTCTTATTGTTGTTTGATTTTTGTTTTGGTTTTGTCTTAATAGTAAATCAATCTTCTTTATACACTACTAAATGCTAATTTTACACTTTTCTTTCTCATTACATAGATTTGTCCTTGCAGACTTTTGAGACAATTAGGGAGCAGGTGCCTTGATTTTTCATTATTCTCAATTCTTACTGAAGAAATGAAAGTGTATTCTAACACACCCGAGTCCAGATCTCTTTGGTATCAGAAATGTTAGCGATCTCTCCATAATAATATTTCTAATTTTAGTGCCTGTTGACTGAAGAAAATTTATAATGACAAACCTTGAGTTCAGTAAAGAAGATTCCTGTCTCCCCTACAGTGTATATCTGTAGGAAAGTAGTTCACTGTAGGTAGCTGGGGTAATTTCTGATTCACAGCCCCCAACAGTTGCCCTCTGACCATCGGGGACCTTTGTCCCTTACATTGGAAGGGCGTGGACCTGAAACAGCTCCAATATGGCAATCCTTTCCTGGGGTGGGTTTGCTGATTGGACAGGCCACCTAGCTGGTCCAGCCTGGGCAGTCTGAGGGTGGGAGAGGGTGAGCTGACGGTGGTCTGCACTGTCTGTTGCTGATTGTCTTTATTCATTGAAGATCCCCTCAGAGACGGGAGAAAGCTAATGGCTTAAGTACCCCGTCAGAGTCTGCACATTTCCACTTGGGGTGAGTCTGGTCTCCACCACAAGCTGTGCTGGCAGCAGCTGCCCTTCCCTTCCCTTGTTCTCATTTCTCATCACTGCAAGGGAGGAGCTGATTATGTTCTTAAGAGCAGTACCTTTGTGCACCTTGGGACAGTTCCTCTGTTGACCCACCCCAGTTGCTCTTTCTAGAGAAGGGCCACTTGGCTATATATCCTTGAGTACCGGCTTTTATTTGCTAATCTGGGCTTCTTTGGGCCCCAATTGCTAGAGGAAATGTTATAACCCTGCAGACAGGAGTCCCAAGCTGTGGGTTTAGCAGCTTGTTTCTCTCCAGCCCTGTGTTCTATCTGAAACCAGCCGAGTCTGGGGTGTGTCTTATTTGACCACCTTTCTGATAGCACTTAAAACAGAGTTCTGAGACTGGGGCAAAAATGAATCCTTCTCCCTCCCTTTGATGGCTTGGGACTCTAGAGACAGGCTTCAGGTGGACGGGTAGAGTCCCCAGTGATTGATATGCTAGGCTTTCAATGCCACCATAGCATTCAAGCGTCCTCAGTGCTCCCTTTTGTTGCCCTCTAGGGCAAAGACCAGTGCTTCCAGACCTCAGATCCCTCTTTGTAAGGGAGCTGCTGGGGATCCATTCTGTCTCTGAAGGTTTACCAGGCTTGCCCAATGAGCTGATGGCAGGGATTCTTTGTCTCCATGCCCAGACGGATGACTGGCTTGAATGCCACATAGTGTCCTTCCTGTATAGTTCTGTCCCAAGTCACTGGGTTGGTGCCGCTTTGTTGCTTGATTTTTTTTTTTTTTTTTCCTTTTGAAGAGTGAATGGCTTTGGAAGCTTAAGCATGCGAGATAGAAGCGTGGAAGGAGAACCTGAGAAACATTATGAGTGGAGTGGCCCGGGCCATTTCTGCTGGTTCATCTGCCCCATGCTTGCCTTGCACTGCAGGTGTTTGCATTAAAATACTTGTAATGTTATGAGTGTATTGTGTTCAGAGCCTAAGGGTTGAATGCTTTTCCCTTAAGAATGGCTCAGACAAGATCTTCCACAAGTTCAGTCCCTACTCTGTCTGCTTGCCCGCCTGCTCACTCGGTCTTTCCGTGGCTCCACAGCATGTGAGGGACTGGGCTGAACCACCGCTTATCATCTCCGAGAGCATGCGCACTTGTTTGTGAAATAGGTGGACAAGTTGTCTGGTCCCCATGGCTTTTCAGTGTGATTAAGTAGATAGACATTTCCCAAACGCCCATGGAGGCTAGAATAAGAGAAATAGCCAGTGTTGACATGTCTCCTCCTCATCCCTCCAGCCTCAAGTCCCTGGTAGATGGTTACAAACAGTGGTCATCCAGTGCCCCCAACTTGGGGAAGGGCCCAAGGAATAGCCCTGCTCTACCTGGGTTCACCAGTCTTATGGAAATAGGTAAGTATAACTTTTGTTTTGGTTTTCTCCCTGTTTTCTTAGAGAATTCATGGTCAGACTTCCAGGATTGTTTAAGGATTCCTAGTATTATCTGTAGGGTTTGTCTTATTTTTGTTTCTTGCCTCCGATCCCCTACTCTGTCGGTCGCTTCCATTTTACTAGGTCTTCCTAAACCACTTCCCTTGTATGATAGCCATGGAACCTATCTTTGGCTTCCTGCCCCAAGAGTCCAGCAATCATTTCCCCAGGGCAGTGTGTAAGGTTGAGGACTTGAATCAGACATTTCGCTTTTCCAAGCCTTTCCAGTGATGCTCTCTGGCTGTGGATGGTGGCTGAGTTCTCTAGAAGCTCCTCTACTTTTCTTTTCTCTGTTGATTTCCAAGTCATAGTAGGCCCATCCATTGAACAGATTGCCCTTCACCCATGTAGAGGATTCTGACATCTTGTGCACACCAACTTTAAGACACGTTGCTAAGCATTGTGCTAGAAATTCAAAGCCCTTCCAGTTTTATGATACAATAATATTAGAAATGTTTCTTTTATCTAGTGTTCTGGGAATGCATACTGCATGTTCTTGTAAGAGTGTAGCCCCATGGTAGCATACTTGCCTAACATATGTGAGATAGTCTCTGGCATGTCCGCACTCAAAGGAGGAGTCCCTATGATTGAGGTAACAAATTAGCAGATCTACTTTTCTGCAAATAGAGAAATGGGCTCTGGAATGCAGGTGAGTGTCCCACGTTGGTCTCAGTTGAGTGGCAGAAAACAGTTCCCGTTGGCTCCATGCTCAGTCTCATTGCCCTATATCTCTGCCAGAGCTGGGAGAAGGACCAGACTCTTCATTCTGTATTTCTCTGCTGTTTCTCTTGTCTTCAGAGGATGAAGATGGTGAAGGCCCGGGAAATGGAGAGAGTCATCTCCAGCATTCGCCCAACCAGTCCTACCTCTGTATCCCTTTTCCTCGTGGAGAGGAAGGGGACGGCCCTTCCAGTGATGGAGTTCATGAGGAGCTCACCCCAGTCAACTCAGCCACCAGTACCCCTCAGCTGACGCCAACCAACAGCCTCAAACGCAGTGGGACCCACCACCGGCGCTGTGAGATGGCTCTGCTTGGCTGTGGAGCTGTTCTGGCAGCCACAGGCCTAGGGTTTGACTTGTTGGAAGCTGGCAAGTGTCAATTGCTTCCCCCAGAGGAGCCTGAGCCACCAGCCCGAGAAGAGAAGAAAAGGCGAGAGGGTCTTTTCCAAAGGGCCAGCCGCCCTCGTCGGAGTACCAGCCCCCCTTCTCGAAAGCTCTTCAAAAAGGAGGAGCCAATGATGTTGCTAGGAGACCCGTCTGCCTCCTTGACACTGCTCTCTCTCTCCTCCATCTCCGAATGCAACTCTACCCGCTCCTTGCTGCGCTCTGACAGTGATGAGATCGTTGTGTATGAAATGCCAGTCAGTCCAGTTGAAGCTCCACCCCTCACCTCGTGCACCCACAACCCTCTCGTTAATGTCCGAGTGGAGCGCTTCAAGCGAGACCCTAATCAGTCCCTGACTCCCACCCATGTCACCCTCACAGCCCCTACACAGCCAAGTAGTCACAGGCGGACTCCTTCTGATGGGGCGCTTAAGCCAACAGGAGCCCCCCCAGCACTAGCGAGTTGGAGCCCCTCCAGCAATGGAATGAGCCCCAGTCCTGGAACAGGTGAGTTCTGGCCGCTTCCTCTTTTCTCCCTGCTTCTTTTGCGGCTCCCCGGGGAGTAAAGTTGTTTATAGGTGACTCATTTCCTCTTTCTACTTCTGGATTTGGATAACCCCAAAGAAATTTGAATTTCTTCTCTTGCTCAACCATACAAGAGATATGACCTTGGATTGGCAGGGTGTCCAGAGCTGGCTGACTTCTCTTTTCCCTGTACCATGGGCATCTTCTCCTGATCTTGAAAGGAGACAGGCCGGTTGTAGAAAGAGCCAGATGTGGGCCCGGGGCATGCTGAGAATCCGCTCTGGCACAGGGCAGGGATTCCATCATCCAGGAACAGCAGGCAAGCTTATTGTTCCCAGAAGAGTCTCAGCTACAAGGAAGGGATCTTTGCCACACCTACGAAGGGTGTTTTCTGCTGCATACTTGGGCCTGTGCCATTTCAGCATTAGTTCAGACACACACCTAAGGTCAGCTGCCACCCACCCATTATGTTCTCCATCACTAATCCTTGAGTCATGCCTGCCTCTTCAGGCCTGGAGACATATCCAGTGGGTGGCACACGCTTGCCTTGCATCTGACCCCCAGACTTGTATGAATTCGTACTTTCAACCAAGGACTTTGCTACCCCCATTTCTTGCTCCCTGAAACACCCGAGTCTGTCTTGGAAGCAGCCCCTAGTCCAGTGAGAGAAGCAAAGGTGGTCACGTCCTTTTGGTGAGACTTAAGTGTGCACGACAGTCGTATCCTACCATGTGTCTGACTCTTCCTCCTTGGGTCTGTTGTACCCGGGTGTGTGACCCCTTTAGAAATAAGGACAGCGTAAATCATCTTTACGTTTTTGCTAGCTCTTATCCTGTCATATGATTATTACATACATGAACATGGAACAACAGGCATTCTCTTAAATCGGGGGCCCCCAAACTATTTTGGAAAAGGACCAGATGGTAAATATTTTGGGTTTTGTGGATTGGGATACGTTTCTTTAAAAGTTAAGTAGTTTAAAAAAAAACAAACAAACAAACTACTCAGCCATACTACTGTAAATGGAAAGCAGCTAGAGTACATCCAAAATATGTCCCAATAAAACTTTATTTACAAACACAGGGGATGCTCTTAAGAGTCCTTCCCAACACCTGTCTTAAGTTAGTTCATTATACGTGTGACCCCCTATGTTATTAGTACTTGAGTCAAGACAAGGTAGTTTCTAGTTCACTACCATACCCCTAGCACCTCGCAGTACACTGCTCGGCACACAGTAGGTGTTCTTTAAACATTTAATTCCTGTGACCCACGGGCCTAGACGTATGGGGGAGGTGCACATCTTGCCTGGAAATACATTGCCATCATCTGATGTCTTTCCCGTTGTCTCCCTGACCAGGAATGTTGAAAACTCCCAGTCCCAGCCGAGACCCAAGTGAATTCCCCCGTCTCCCTGACCCCAATGTGGTCTTCCCCCCGACTCCAAGGCGCTGGAACACACAACGGGACTCCACATTAGAGAGACCCAAGACCCTGGAGTTTCTGCCTCGGCCACGTCCTTCTGCCAACCGGCAGCGGCTGGACCCTTGGTGGTTTGTGTCCCCCAGCCATGCCCGCAGCGCCTCCCCAGCCAACAGCTCCAGCACAGAGACGCCCAGCAACCTGGACTCCTGCTTTGCCAGCAGCAGCAGCACCGTAGAAGAGCGGCCTGTACTCCCAGCTCTGCTCCCTTCACAAGCAGGGACACTGCCCCCTGCTGAGCGGACGCTTCTGGACCTGGATGCAGAGGGGCAGAGCCAGGATAGCACGGTGCCCCTGTGCAGAGCTGAGCTAAACACACGTGGGCCTTCCCCCTATGAGATCCAGCAGGAGTTCTGGTCTTAGTGTCTGAAGGGTCAGGGTGGGCAAGGGGGAAGCCGGAGGAGATGGAGGGAGCTGGCTGGCACAGCCCTGTCTCAGTTAGGCCCCCTGGGATCCAGACCTCCTCCTTGCACTGAGAATGCACTTTGAAGATGGAAGGGATGGAGACAGGGCCAGCCACTGCAGAGGGTCTCCTGCCCTGCAGGATCTTTTTCCCCATGTTCACTGGAGGGGCTGTGTCAGCTCTGGCTGTGTAGGAGAGGGAGGGCTTGTCCCCACCCTCCAGTCTTCCTCACCTTTCGGGTGACACTACAGTCATTCAACCAAGTCTGTCCACTGCCTCCTCTCCCCAGCCAGAGCTGTCCTGGAGTCCCTTTGTCAGTCATGAGTTCTACCGTCCACACACTGGTACTGATGCGCTATGATTGATTCATTTGGCTTGTCTTCCGCTCTTCCCATGACTCGGTGTCTCCTTTGGTATCGATGAGTGTCTTGTGTCCTAAGTCCTTTTGTGCCAGCTGATGGGGACTGGTTGGCCTCACGAGGGCCAGAGAGCTTGACAGACCTGGAACTGCCTACCTGTGCAAATCTCAGTGAGAGCCGAGAGTGAGGGGTGGGAGGAGCAAGGAGGCAGCCAGGGGAAGCAGTCAGGGTGGGTAGAAAGGTGCTCGAATCACTCCTTGGTTTGGGTTGGATTTGGGTTTTAGAAACAAAGGCAGAAATCAACACTTATTGAATGGCTCTGTCTAACCCCTTGGGTTCAGGCCATGGCTACACCAGGTTTGAATATAAGCATATTCATCTCAGGAATAGCTCTTTGGGAGACACACTCACTGATGCCAGGTCTGAGGTCAGACACAGTGCCTACATGTACCTGTCTAGTTGAGACTCTGTTCCTTCCTCTAGTTCCGGAATCAGTGACCTCTAGGTCATAGGTGATTCACAGACACAGCTGAAGTGTGTCAGGATAACATATGGGGGTGGGTCCTGGACCTTGGGATGTGGAACTGTAGGGATTTCGTTATTGGACTTGTGTGTCTTGTGATGCCCTTGAAGTAAACGGGAACCTTAGTAATAACATTTGGGTGTTTGGAGGCAGTAGCATGATACAGTTCTTCAGGCACTCAGTGGTCCATTGATGGGCACCTGATTGAGGCCACCTCTGTCTCAGCACAGACAGCCCTTGTGCTGGGCGCTGCACTGTGAGCTAGACAGCAGAGACCAGCCAGATGAGGCTAGTGCTGACTTGTTTAGTATTTGTTTCTTGAACTTGAATGCTAAGCTTCATCTAAAGATTTCTCACGTATTTTCTTCACTGTTCACTTCCTCTGAACCCCTTTGTTGTATGTGCACTATGGCCCTTAGGTGACAGTAACAGCCAGTCCCCAGTGGTGTTGTAGACAGTCTGCAGGCTCCCTGTCTTTGCTGCCTGGATGTCCAGAAGGATTAGGTGCACATGGGACAGGTGACAGATTTTATCACTGCTCTTCTCTGTAACTGATAGAAATTCTGCCCTGGGGAGCACCTAAGAGAGGGCATTGGTTTCCACAATTTCTTTATGAGCCCTTTTGCTCTTTGGCCTGACCCTGTAGCCCCCTAGTCTCTGACAAGGAAGCGGTGCTGGTGGTGTCAGCCGGTGTTTTACTGTAGTATCTCCTCTTTCCTCTTGGTTCTGTGGAATGAGAATGTAGGCAATTCCCCTTACCCCTGTGCTCTGACTCCTCAGGAGAGGAGAGCTTGTGAACTCTCCCAGTAGTGCCACCCAACCTAGTGATGATGCTTCATTCTTGAGGACTAGATAGTCTGTTGTGTGCCCTTTTGGATCTTTCAAAACCCCTATTCCTAAGCTACAAACACATCTACCCATCTTGGATGATCTAAGGCTTTGAGGCAGACTGCAGCTGGCTCCAGCCCATGTTCCAGCCCCTGGCAGGGTTTTTCCTGTCCGTGTTTGATTGTGGCCAGCTTTCTGGGAAAGACATAGTGTTACAGAGGCAGTCTACACTGCATGACAATGACCTGCCATTGGGTGGCAGGTGGACTCTAGTTCTTACTTGTCCACCCAGCATTCAGACAGAGGAAGGCCTTACTAAAGAAGTGATTGTACCTGAGAGAAGAGAAAGCAGGGCTTTGCATTAAGATGTGTGCGTGGCAAGGGTGATTTCCTGTTCAGCTCCGTGCGAGCCTAGAGATGGGATGCACGTTAAGGAAGTCACACTTATGTGACTTAGGTTCCCTCCATCTGTGGTCATGGTTAGGAACAGGCCTGGTAGCTATGAATAAACCCACTTGCGTGACATTAGCCAGCTTCTCACTTTTCTTTTACCACCCTTTCCTCAAAGACTTGCCTTCTGCTTAGAGCAGAATCGTTGTCTTGGGGCTGCTAACAGCATCGGGGACTGTTCTTTGCTGTGTCTCCTCCTCAGGTCTTCAATTCCCAGCGCTTACTCTTGGGGAATCTCTATGGCTAAGAACTGAGTAGATGCCTGCATTACCCTTACAGCTATTTCTAGGAAGCGGTAGTGGATGCTCTTGACGTCCCTGTGAATGGGTAGGCATCATAGTGACAACAGCCTGCATTTGGACAGCTCAGAACAAGGCTAGCTTTTCCTTCTGACATTTACAGAATGACATCATTTTCCTTCACATTCGCTACATTTGTCTCAAAAACAGAAAGACAGACAGACTCTGACTGACTGAGTCTGGCCCCCAGGCCCTGGGGACAGCACAAGTTGGCCCTACTCCCCTGTTCTGCTTTTCTTGCATGACTACAGTTCAGTGTCTTGACCCCTCTCAGGTTTCCTTGTAAAACCCTTCACCATATCCTTCCCTTGTGAGGGTGTGATGCTCTGTGGCTTCCTGCCAACAGCTTCTTCCCTTGCCAGATGAATGCGCTGAAGCCGGCAGTGTGGTTCTCACCACCTTTGCCTCAGGGCATCTTCCCTTAGCTTTATCCTTTGGCTTCTGGAAGAGAAGTGTTTTGGGGTTGGCTTAACATAACTGATGGACACGGCGTATGCTCTTCCACCAGATTGTGTAGCCCAGGTAACAATAGCATCATTTATTTTCTAATTCCCTCCCCCTCCTAACCTGCATCTAGGTGTCCTTACTGTTGTGTCTTCTTGAGGAGATGGAGCTGGGTGGCAGCTGGCTGTCTCTGCTTTTTTAGGTTCATCTCTAGGGTCAGATTTGCTAAGAGTCTGAAATCAAACCAGTTCTGGAAGAACCTTTGGGAAAGTGGCTCCTAGCCCATGGGACATCATGTGCCAAAGTATTATGCTCCTCACAAAGCCCCTTGACCCTCAGACTGTTGCTCAGGGACACAGACATTGCTGGCTGTCTAGACTTGACCCTTTCTCCAAGCTTTTGCCTCCGCCAACCCTCCCATGTTGTAGACACTAATTGCCCCATGAGAAGGGCCATTCTTTTCTTTTTTTCTTTCTTTTGTTTTTGTTTTTCTGAGGCAGGGTTTCTCTGTAGCTTTTTTTCTCTGACAGCTTTGGAGGCTGTCTTGGAACTTACTCTGTAGACCAGGTTGGCCTTGGACTCACAGAGATCCACCTGTCTCTGCCTCTTGAGTGCTGAGATTAAAGACATGTGCCATTCCTGCCCGGCTGAGAAGGGTCATTTTTAATTCATGAAATTCATCTCTTCTGTTCTTCTTTCCTCTGCTACACACCCACCCCCATAACTGGGTCTCCCATATGCTAGGCAAAGACCAACCAATATCAAGCTTACTTTTAGCAGAGAAAAAAACAGTGGGCCCTGAAGCCTGAGTGGCTGTGAGTGGACACCTGAGGGTGTAAGTGTCCACCTGTGGACATGGATGCAGAACCCTGACCGTTTTTGATCATGTGTTTATTTGATCATGTGCCTTTGGATTGGTTTGGGGAATGGTACAGTGTGACAGTTCAGAAGCACACATCCCATTGCTTTTAGAAGGCCTGGGAAGAGAGGCAGGTCCAACTTGTTGGTAAAGTACTGGACTTTGTCTTAAGGACGCGTCCAGACTGGATTCAGGGGCAGAGGTAAGAGTGGCCCTCAGGGAGTTATGGGTGGCAAGAACCTGTCCATTTTTAAGTTGCAAATTTGCCAATATCTGGCCCTCAGAAGCCCTCCAGCGAGCTGCGGGTGATGCTCACTATCCTATTAAAAACCCTTCTAACTTTAAAAGCTAGGTTCAGCTAGTGATGCATCTTGGGAAACCCAGCTACTCGAGACCGAGGCAGGACACCTGCTTCACCCTCGGGTGTGATGCCAGTCTGGGGCAGCACAGCAAGAGCCGGTCCCTTCAGTGTGTGGTGTCAGAGCTCCAAGTCCAGCGTGGATAGCTCCACCATGCAAGATTGCTTTCCTTGGTGGAGAAAAGTGTGAATGGACGTTTGATTGGAGGTCAAAGGCCAACACTGGCCATATGGCTCAATCATGTATCACTTGTCATTGTCCTCGACTTGACCTGAGAATGACTTCTTGTCAAGATACAGTTGTTGGAAGCATTTCCCAATGGCAATACAATATTTTCCTAGTTCACAAATTATAATAAAATCTGCACATAAAAGGAGAAGCGCCCTTCTCCTTGGACTCTTCCTGGCATTGCTGCATGGAGGTTCAGCATCTCTGGTATTGAGTTGGAGGACAGGAACCAGGAGTTGGAATCTTGTTTGATTAGGGCTAATTAATATGGGTCTAACTAGTCTAACCCAGACCTGGGTTCCTGGTTGGCTCTACAGACCAGGTAGGTGAGTTTCCTTTACTTTTTCATGAACTGTTTCTGGGCATTCCTTTCCATTGCCTTCTCTGGCCGTTTCTACCCAGGTTGCCTTAAGCTCCTGGGAAGCTTAAGGCTGCCTGGGAAGCTATAGACTGCCTTTTTAGGATACTGGGTTCTCTTGAGCTTTGCCCTGGGACTGATTGCTCCTTCTTGATTTCTTACATCCTTGGTCCCTGTTGCTGCATTCCCTTGAGTCTTGTGTTGGAAAGAGAAGACCCTGGGGGTTGAATGAAGTTGTCTGAGTGGGAGCTCCACACTGCTCTAGTTTCCTTGCCCCTGAATTCCCTTCTGATTGCTCTGACATTTGATTGTCAGGTGTGAACATGACAGCTAGGTGGTGTCTCCGGGTGGGAAATCCAAATACAAATCAGGCCTTCAGAGACCAGCCTTTCTCTCTGGGACAGGACAGGTGGAAGCCCTGACATGTGAAGACCCCATGGAAGGAGTGCAGTGTGCTTTGTAGTCACTCAAGACCAGGCAGGTTTCAAAAGTTTCTTGTTACCCTCATTCCCGAACTCCTTAATACCTTGCTACCTACACAGGCAGCCTTTAGGCTGAGCACTGATCTCATCATGGATGCTTTTTATTAATTTTGGCATTTTGGAAAATTGAGTTACATTGAAGTATGGTTTAGTCTTTGTCGATTTTTTTAATTTTTATTTTATTTTTTTAACATGCCCTTGGAGTTTGTATCCAATACAAGTGCCTCACTCACCTCTACCTGGGATGGGCCCTGCCTGCCCCTCCTGGATCTCCAGATAAGACTGTGGCATTTGACGTAGGCTTTATGTTTATTCTCATTGCCTCCCCACACAGCATGTTCTGAGTGCAGCCCGCCACCCCCAGGAGCACTTGCCTTCAAATACAAGAGTGAAGCCCCCAGTTCTCAACATTGACACTGTAGCTGGGGGTCTTTTCCTTCCTTCATGTTCTCTGGCTAGCTTTCAGGCTCTCAGAAGCCACTTTCTGGGTGTCTGTGTATTCCAGGAGAGGGAAAGTGGTCAGGGAAAGAGAAGCCTGTGAATTCTCTACTTCAGCGTCTCTGGGAATTCTAGAAGTGAATAGACCTCATTCATCCAAGATCTCAGAAGCGAGTGAACGGGCGCTTTCCTGTCGTCATTGCCCCTCCCCACCACATGTTAATCTCTATCCCTACCCAGCCAGCCTTCTAAATACCTTCACAGCCCCACCAGTGTCAGGTTCACAGCCATTGTTCCCCTCCTCCATTGTCATTTCACTCAATCATTTACTCTACCTCCACTGAAGGCCATGTCTGCTATGGCTTTTTTTATTATTATTAGTATTATTAATATTACTTCAGACAAGGTCTCGTGTAGCCCAGACAGGCTTCAAACTTGCTGCATAGCCCGGGATGACCTTGTACTTCTGACCCTTCTGCCTCCACTTCCCGATTGCTGATAGGACAGGCGTATGCCTTTGTTTTCTTCTTTACTGTCAGAGACACGGATTTATCTTGGCCAGATCTGGAGTTGAATGGCAAATCTTAAGCACTAAATCTTCCACGCAGGAGGCTCTAGACGCATGCACAGACGTTTTGTGTCTTCTTGCAGTGTGCCCCACAGTTGGTGGATATTACCCGCATCCATGGATGTGTGAACAGACACGGGGACATGGGCTGTTCATCCTGGAGTCACAGAGCTGGGAAGCAAGTTGCTGATCTGCTCTGTTTAAGACATGACTAGCCTGTGGGCACATTTCTAGGCCACTGTTGAAAAGCCTTGAGTTGGAATTCGCCCAGCTTGGACCCGTGTAGCTTCTGAAGTCACCCTCTTCCTAAGGAATTGTGTTCCCTGGCTGACCTGTGATCTCCTCAGAGCTCAGCAAACTTCATTTTTGCTGATGGTGGCTCTTTCTTCCTTCACCTTTCTCTCAGTTCTGCGGGGATTCTGAGCTCATTGGGATATCCAGCTCGCTTCCCTCCCAGTACAACCTAAGGCTCGGTTTCTCTCTCCTGTTTTCAGTTCATAGCTTCCCTGATGTTGCTCCTCATTGTAACTCCACTTTCCTTTGTTCCCAGAGCCTGTTCCAGCTCCTGTCTTGTAGGGAAATGATGCTGCTGCCCATTTGTCACCTTGAGCCTTGCTATCCAGAGAGGTGAACTCACTAACGTTCTGCTCCCCCGTCCCATGTTCTCCTTTGTCCACAGCCACAACTCCACACTCACAGGTCTGAGACTCTGTTCAAAGTCTCAGGGGAGACACTGGTTGGGTTCTGGTTTTCTGAAAAAGCTTTCTCAGGGCTTTCTCCCCTTAGGGCCCTTGAATCTAGAAAGTAAAGTGAAAGTTCTGTTTGTTTCGTCCTCTAGTATCTTAACTACAAGTCTCCTGTGTCGGTCTTCCCCATCTCTGTGTACCGAGAGTCCCTCCTTGAGCCCCCATTTCCTTTGGAATTTAAATTATTGTGTGTTGCCAGAAATATTTAAAGATGGAAATGTCCTGAAGGAAGCTTATTATCAGGTTCTTTCCTCTGTCTTTTTCTTTTCATTTCTTTCGAGGTACTGTACATTGCTGATGAGGGATGCCAAGCAGGCTTGGTTCAGTGGCCAAGCCTCCCGCTGTATCACAGTGTGATGCTGATCTCAGCCTGGTCCCAACACCAGGGCTCTCAGAGACTTGAATAAAACTGTCATAGTGGTTACTCCTGGTTTGCTGGTCCTGTGTAACTTGTTGTAACCTACTCTCTCTTTAATTAAACCACATGTCCAAGTAACCAGGCTGTTCCCAGGGAAATGTTACCCATAAGAAAAGAGTATGGAGAGATAGGAAGGTGCTGGAAAAAAAAAAAGGCATGGGTGAGAGGCCTCTGTGGGTCCTTGAGACTCAAGACTGACCACAGGAGCCTGAAAGAGGGATGCTGATGGGGGGCAGGGGCAGGGGAAGAGGCTGCGAAGCTCACATTGCAGGGGAACAGAAAAGCCTCCATCTGCTCCTTCTATCAGGTTCTGGGGAAGCAAACTTAGGTCATCAGGTTTGGCAGCAAGTGCCCTTATTATCTGAGCCATCTTGCCAGTCCAAAGAAATCTACTTAATAAAATATAGTTAGCGGGATGGTGGGATGCTGTGGGGGTACTGCAGACGGGATGGAACCTGAACTTGTGCCTCACAGACCATTTCATAGAGATGTCCTTAAGAGTCCTGAAGGATGGAAGGGAGGCTGACAAAATAGCTCAGCTGGTGCCTTGCAAGCATTAGACCTTAGTTTGATCCCCAGAACCCACATAAGAAAAGGTGAGCATGGTGGTGTGTGCATGTAATGCCAGGGGTACAAAGGCAGGGGTCGGCAGGGCTCCCTGGGCAGTCAGGCTAGCCTACAGTGAGAGCCACAGATCCAACCAGTGAGAAAGTCTGTCTCAAAAGGGAGCGGGCAGATGGCATTGGCACCTGGAAAATAATACCCAGGGTCCTCTGACCTCCGCATACGTATGTGTTCATGGACGCACACACATGAAGGGGGAAGGGAGGGAGAGAAAGGTGAGGATGGGGGGAAGAAAGGAGGGAGGAAATGATGAAATGACTCCCTCTCATATTAATCTCTGTTTCTTTTGGTTTTTTGAAACAGTCTCCTGTGTGGTCCAGGCTGCCTCAGACTCCGCCCCAGCCTCTTACGTAATAGGATTATATTCATTATACAGCACCCTGCTCATGCCACCCTTTGTTCTGAAAGCAACCCCTGCTTCACCCCTGGCTCATAAGTCTAGTTTATCCTTAACTGGATTGTTAGAGAACCACTAAGAGTGTTCAAGAGTAATTGAGGAAACAGGAAAGTGCTCATGGGAAGTTAAAAGGCAAGGCATAAAAACTGTCAAGGACAAAAGCCAGTGTGGCAGTGCCTGGCTGTACCCCAGCAAAGGGGGCTTAGGCAGGAGGCTAACCTCAGCTGCACAATAAAACTCTGCCTCAAATAATTGAAACGGAAACAAT